TTTTTTAATTTTAATGCCGCCGGACATCATCGTCTTTTATTATTCATCATCACTTACAATTGTTTACAAAAAAGTACGACATACTGCTGAAAAACCAGTTGATTCCTACTTTATTATTTTATGCATTTTTCACGCATAAAACGTCTACCTGCTTTATATATCCCACCCCCCTACTTTTTGGGCTTGAAAATTTTGGAAAAAAAGGGCGGCTTATACATGGGGAAATACGGTATTCATGTTTTTTTGTTGTCTCTGTGAGTATATATAAAGTGTTGTGAAAAGCCAAATGCGTTAATGGGTTTTGATGATGTCTGTCAGATGACATGACAGACGAAAGCTAGCTTTCGCAATTGGGTCAGGCTGGCAGAGCGACCCAGTTGGACACACCTTGTCCGAAGTCCTCGGACCATGGACCTGACACATTCGCAGACGTTGACGAAGGCATCGTTAGTGAGTCATGCCATTCGTAGCACCAAATCACAATTCGTCAAATAGAAAAGTGTATTCAATCTCTTGACCAACTTTGTGTCGAACGGTTGTGCTTTCATTCCACCTTCCGTCTGGCAACTTCTGTTCCAGTATCACAACTTCTTGATCTTCATAACTACGAGTGAGCTTAATGGGATGTTTCGTGGACTAAGTCAACCTGAACGTCATGATAAAACGACAGCAATCCGCTGTCGTCTGTTGGTGAGATCGACTAATTTATCATTTCGCCTAGTCATTTACGCGTTAAGTGGGAAACACTACAATAAGTTGATCTCATGAGATTCAACGAAACTCATTTAAATTTCGTATAAGACGGAAAAGATTTGTTAGAAGCTGTATTCAGTCTCTTTTGTTTAAGATGATAAATGATTAGTAAATGAATTTTCCCATTATGATATGAGTAAGGCGGCAAGTGTTCATTTAATTTCGCATAGTCTTGCTTCCCAAAATATATTCTTAACTAATCCCTCATCATTTAAAATAAAATAGGGTGAATACAGCTCTGATATCATATCTACTGGTAGTCTTGACAACTTGCCTATGTACAAAACGATGTCGTTCCCCCGAGAGAGGCATCTGGATCCAACCAAGTTAGCCTGGTCCCTCTTCTCCTGCTGCCCTGGTGACACACAGGGCTTATGAAGCGTCAGGAATCTGGCCATTTGTCAAAAGGTAGTACATGGACTGAAGGATATTACACTCATGATAAGAGCTGCAAATCCCGAAAAAATGTTTTTATCCACGAAAATATTTGCCTAACCTTATAAATACCTGCAAGTCTAATTAAATTAACTTGTATGGCCCTTCTCGCACCCTTCATGTAAATTCCAACTATAATCCTCTCCATCACATTAAAAGGCCATTTAGAGGTGCCCTTATTCTTAGAATCTATTTATATACACATATACTTTAGCCTACATTTTATGTGATGAAGTTGAGTTTTCTACAGCTCCCACCATTACATTGGATTCGACTATAAACCTTGTCTTAAATTCTCCCATATAAGAAACGAATATTGTGCCAATTTCTATTGCATCTTTAAATTGGCCAGTTACGTAACTGCATCGGCTTTCTACTATGTCGGCCTGCGATGAATAAATAAGAGGCCATTGAAACCAAAATTTTGGGTAATACTCTGAATGCAAAGGATGGGAGTAGGAAGTTTGGTGGGGAATGTCTGTACATGAAGTATGGATTTGAGGATAGAAAAGTTGACCTGACCGGCCTTTATGATTATGGTGTTAATCATGGTTTTTGGATAAGAACCTTATTTAACATATGCCAATAGTCTGAAAAATACGAACTACAAAAAGCTCAGTACAGCCTCATTTTTCATACATTCGAGATGACACGGAAAGCTCATCAACTAGGCCAGGCGTCTGTCTGGTTTTCCTGTGTCAAATAAGGCCATTAAATCTTGATTACTTAGGATAATCCTTACATTCTGCTCTAATTATGCAAAATGCACACTGCGATTTAGTACTCCCCTTTTCATACAGACACATACGCACATTGTCTCTCTCTCTCTCCGACACATCTATATACATAAATGCATATATGGACATGAAAATGTCTTTAAAATTTCGTTATGCACCTCACAAAAGTAATTTTTGCGTGTATCTGCGACTTGAAGATGGCCTATTTGACGGCTCTTGCTGACTCGTTTTAGGCTTGAGTTCGTCCAGGTCTCACCCGAATAACCGGAGGCAGTCTCGGGGACTTTTCCATCAAAATCACAGTCAATACGCCGTTGTCTTCTCGTGAGTTCGGCCTACTCAAAGTCAACTCAACCATATTCTTGTATTCAACATAAATATGCTTCAGTGCCACAATTCTAATACAGCTAAGTCAAATTTTCGGATACTTTGAAGGATAATAAAAGTATGCGCTCTGGTTAATCTGACAAAGGTTGTCACCACGGCCTCGGGAGGACCGAGGGTGCCGCAAATGAACACAAATTGCATCGACACCTCCGACACTTGGAGGCGCCAAACTAGCCCTCGAAACGTTGTGACGTCGGCGTCAAGGAGACAACCGTTGACAGCGACTTGCGCCGATCAGCCTTCCGGCATTTGGGCTAAAATGGCTGGCCCGAGTCACGTGTTACTGTCGAAATAAAATTGAAATAAGTTTCAACGTGCCGCTTCACTAATCGTTTTTGCATGCATACGAAACAGAAGAACGTTCAGTCATAACCAAAAAAAAAAGAAGAGTTGAGTTGTCAAACAGATTACGACGGCTTAAAGCGCCCAAAAGGGTGTAAAAACCAGGCAGCACACTTTGTCTGCACGCTCTGCAGTAATCAGAGACACCGAGATTACGCCCTAAGCGACCGACTCATTAGGACCGAACAATGCCTTGTCTGATGAAGATGAGACTGTCCCTAATTTTCTTTGTCTTTTGCAGACAAAAAGGCCGCTGGCACGAGGAACTAGGCTCACAAGATAGCCACGCCAATGGACGACTTCGAAAGAAGACGTCTAAAACGATCAGGTGTGTCATATCAATTAGGCAGATGCAGCACTCAGTCGACCTGTCCGGACGACTAATATGAAACTTTATGAGAAAAACAGATTATCCTAGGCGGAAGTTGTAGGTCGCACTTTTGGGGCATTTGGATGAGACTAAATGAAGGATGAGGAAAGAGACATTTTGGGCTTTCGGGCTTTTGAAGATAAAATGAAGCGTAAGAAGGACTTCTATGCCATGCTCTCAGGGCTCAGCGAAGTCAGTCTTTGGACTCTGCTTGCCAGGCAATGGCCAAATGGAGGAGAGAACCAAGGTTTCACCCGTCTCGCAACCCAATGTAGTGATGGCTTCAACTTCGACGGGGCTCGGACTTATATTCGTATGAGAGTAGGGTTTCGAGACTACCAGTAAATCGGTATAATGAGATGTATTCACCCTATTTCGTCTAAGGTGATGAAGTAATGGTAGTAGAATTTTCCCACAATCATATGAGTTGAACTGACGTTTCCATTGAATTTCACATAGCTTTCTTTTCCCAAAAGTTGTTCTCATCCAGGGTCGACTGAAGTTTCCACCTCGCATCGCTCTTATCAACACCCCCAGCGGGAGTTGAACCGTGACAGTAATTTTACACGTTAACCACTCGGTTACATTGCCACGAGTGCTCTTGGGTGACAGAGTAAATGGGAATGTCAAGGAAGGCCAGACCTTTTGCCGTATCATATTCTCTGGTTGGGTTGTCGAGTAAGCAAGCATATATTTACTATAACAATCCACTACGTTACTTATTTTTCGTATTTAAGTAGAGTTTCGAGACTACCAGTAAATCAGTAATATGAGATGTA